AAACCTTTCGGTATCTTCGAGGAAAACATTTTCAAATGATTCTTTATATACACTAAGACTACGTCCTTTCGGATTCGATTCATCTTCGTTTAATCCTAAAAAACAATTTTAAAAAAATGAGTATTTTCCACTTAGTTTGCAAACGTTTGGTTTTAAAACCAAACTTTCTTATTTAAATTCGTCTTGTTTCCCCCCTCCCTACCTCCTTCCTTCCTACTTGATTTACTTGATCTACTTACCCAATTCAACGTAGCAATTAATAACTCCACTAATTAAACGAGTGTTTATAGTTTCGCCATTTCTTTCTTTTTCAATTAATTTCAAAACCGCATTGGTCACCTAATTAATTAAATATAATTAATTAATTATAATCGTGTGAACAAAAGGTGATGTGAAATGGGGAGACTATTTTAAAAAAAAAAAGGAGAATTAAAAATGTTTTGTTAACCTGTTTATTTAAATGTTTGAATAAATAATCTCTCCATGTGATCAATGCCGCCTGATATATTCCACATATCCCTCTACTTCCTTCTTCGCATTCCCTACGAACCCAATGTCTATTTAAATAAGAGCAAACCCCGTGCAAAACTCTAGAACTAAATTGATATTCGTCCCATTCTCTCGTGTAAAACGTTAATACATCTTCATCCATTAACTTAATGCCAGCCTGAAAATAATTAATATTTTTGTAATTATATTTAGATATGGAAAGTCGGAAGGGGAATCCCCGAATCAAATTTTCTATACATTAAATCTTTTCCTCCTTCCTTCCTTCCTTCCAAAAAAAATAAGGAGTCAGGTACGTGAGACACGTTAAATAATTTTTTTAACGGAATTTTAATTTTGGTACAAATTTAAACGAACTGATTAATAATAATAGTTGAGCTAAATATAAAATAAACGACAAAAAATTTAAAAATAAAAATTTAATTTTTTTTTCTTTTTTTTTTTTTTTTTTTGGCAGAACAAAGTAAAACAAAAAAAATTAAGACATAGAAAATGTGATTTATCCTAAATTCTTTTGACAAATTTTTTTAAATTTTTTTTAACGGTCAATTTTTAAAAGGGAAAAGTAGTAGTAATAATAATAATAATAAATAAATTACATAAAACTCACATTTAAAAGTTCTATTAAATATGTTTTTAAATATTCTCTAAGACGTTTATATAATTCTAATCCGACGAGTTGTGCTCCTCCGGAATATAATATTTTTTTCGTTCTGCATGCTGCAGCACGATGATGCTGATGAACGCTCGTGCAATAATTATAAACATGTCTATTATTATTATATCGTTAAGGATTACATAAATATATGAAAAACAAAAACAAAAAAAAAAAAAATTATTAATATTAAATAAAGAGAGAAAGAGAGAGAGAGAGAGATAGAAAAGTAAATATTAAATGACGTCACATGAATATTATTAATAATTATGGATAATAATGTTTGTAATTGTGAACTTTCACCAAACTTTATTTTTTGTGTTGGTTTGTAAATAAACAAAAAAAGTTTAAGTGCCATTAAAAAATTTTTAATTTTTTAAATTATATCTTTTCGTGTTAAATTTATAATGGAAAAGAAAGTTTGGTGAATGATACAAACAAACAACAATAATATGATTATGATTATGATTATTTTTTTTTTTTTTTTTGCCATTAAAAAGTATCAACGTTAAAAATGCATTAAAAACAAAACAAAAAATGAAAAAAATAAACATTTTAGATTTAGGAAGACAAGAATTGATATTTCAATATCACACACATATAATCCCGACTGATAATTACAAACAAGTTTAAACACCTTTGAAATAAAAAAAAAAAAAAAATGACAAAGAAACTAGTAATTTACAAATGTGGGAGTATCTTTATGTATCATACTTATTTAAATCATTGACCTTT